GTCGAGGACGGCCCAAAGCCTTGGGACCCTGCACCCACGTGGGTGACCTAGAAGAGCTCCTTGCTCCTGGCTTTGAATCAGTTCAGCTCCAGCCATTGCGGCTGCTTGGGAAGTGAATCAGTGAACGCAAGATCTTCCTCTCTGTTTCTTCTCCTCTCTGTATATCTGACTTTGCAATAAAAATAAATAAATCTTCAAAAAAAATTTACTTATTTGAAAGTCAAGTTACACAGACAGATGGAGAGAGAATATTATGGAAGTCTACTGGTTCACACCCTAAATGGCTGCAATGATGGGGCTGGGCCAAGCCAGAGTCAGGAGCTTTTTCTGTGTCTTGTACATGGGTACATGGGCCAAAGCACTCGGGTCGTCATGTGCTGCTTTCCCAGAGGCGTGAGAGGGGAGCAGGATGAGAAGTGGAACAGCCTGGGATCTGGAACCAGCACCTACATAGGATACTAGTGTCACAGTGCCAGCCATGCGTGCCTGATTTTCTTAATACTGGCATGTCAATATGAATTTCAGAAAATATTCAACCTGTTAGCCCATGAATTTGGAATTTTCCCCATGTGTCTGCCAGGACACAGGGACCATTTCCTCCCCTCTGTCAGTGTGAGTCCCTTGCTTGAAGTGCTCTTCCCTGAGCCTTGGGTAGTGTCCTCACACGTGTGTCCTGCTCAGTACTCTTCTGAATATTTTGTAGGAACCTTTGCAAATCTGTGGAGTTCTCTCTTTTTGTCTTTCTTCCTCTGTGTGCTTTAGGATTCTGCCCTGTGTACCGTACCTGTCAGAATATCCCTCGACACGCAGTTGATCTCGCAGCACTTGCAGCCCTGTCAGTGTTCCAGTTCTGTGTTGGGTCTGGGAGTTCTCTTATATGGCATTGAGCTGCGACATTGTTAGATGACCGGTTTTGTTTTCTAAAATCTATTATCTTTAAAGTTGTTTCTTTATATGTTTTGTCTGACTTTTGATTTTGCTTTTGCAGAGCAGTTTTTTTTTCAAGTAGGAGAGTAAATTCTGTCCCTGTTAGTTTGTCCTTGACTAGAGGGAATGTGGCCCAATAAATTATTTAGGCCAGTGATTTTTCACCCTTTCCTCTGGGGGTGAGAACACTGTGTTCCAACAAAATCACCTGCCACAGTGCTGTATGTTAAATAAACAGAGGTGGGCTGATGGCAGTGTGACCCACAGGCCTTGCTGTGTCCTGGGGCAACAGCAGAACTTTGCCCACTTGGCTGTCCATGTCTGTTCTCTCAGCATTTCACAGCCCTGATTGGAAACCACAAGTAAGTATATAAAAAATAAATGAAGATATGATGCAGTCACTAGTTAAAGAAGGAAGAGGGGGCCTGCATCGTCGCTTAGCAGGCAAGGCTGTTGCCTGCAACACCCATGTGGAATGGCAGTTTATGTCCCAGTTGCTCTGTTTCCAGTCCAACTCCACGCTAATCTGTAATTAGTGACAGTATCTGCTATTGATGATTATCAAGTTTTTAGTACTGGTTAACTTGATAAAATTAAGATTTACAGAAATAGCAGATAATATCAGAAATGGACACATTGACTACAATGATTCTATCAAGAAATTTGTGAGCAGGGAAGAAGAAATTAGAAATTCGCTGTTGGACGTGAGTGGGATGAATGACCATATAGTCTGCCTTTCCATCTCCTGGCGTGTTGCCCTTGTACCGTTCCCTGCCTTTCTCCTGGCCTTCGCCTGCCTCCCATGGTGTCTTGCCAGGAAGCTGAATCTGAAGTGGGCCTAGGACTCCACCTGGGCATTCAGTAGGACTTGTAGTACCTTTTTTTTTTTTTTTAAATTATTTATTTCTATTGGAGAGGCAGATTTACAGAGAGAAAGGTCATGTGTCCGCTGGTTCATTCCCCAAATGGCTGCAATGGCTGAAGCTGAGCCAATCCGAAGCCAGGAGCTTCGGGTCTCTGAGGCATGCACAGGTCCCAAGGCTTTGGGCCGTCCTCTACTGCTTTCCCTGGGGCCACAAGCAGGGAGCTGGACGGGAACTGGAGCAGTTGGGATGCGATCTGGCATCCATATGGGATGTTTGCACTTACAAAGTGGGGGTTTAGCCACTGAGCCATCGCGGTAGGCCCAGCTATTGCCCAGTGCCCATCTCTGTGATGTTTCTTTCATTCTCATGTTCTAAAATTACAAAGATCTGAAAGCTTGATAGGATTCCAAGTCACAGGTGATAAAATGTGGCAAAGCGTATCCTCTCAGGAGGTCTAACAGCCTTAGTGGGTGTGAGTTCAGGAGGTACGCAATAAATCCTATTGTAAACTGCCCCATCTGGCTTTCATGTAGTGGTCTGACTTGCTCAGACTTGTTGTGAATAGTTATTACATTCCAAGTTGTCAGAAATTTATTTTCTAATTCTGTTGTTTCACATTTGTCAGTTGAACTTCTTTGGTAAAGAAATTTTCTCATTAATTTGGTGATTTCAGTACTGTGAAGTACATTTCATAAAATGCACAGGATGCATGCTTAATTGTGTTTTAACCTACATGAGTGATATTTTAATTAAGATTTGTTGATTTTAGGCCCAGCGTGGTAGCCTAGAGGCTAAAGTCCTCACTTTGAACGCACGGGAGCCCATATGGTCGCCGGTTCTAATCCTGGCAGCCCCGCTTTCCATCCATTTCCCTGTGTGTGGCCTGGGAAAGTAGTCGAGGATGGCCCAAAGGCTTGGGACTGTGCACCCTTGTGGGAGACCTGGAAGAGGCTCCTGGGTCCTGGCTTCAGATTGGTGTAGCTATGGCTATTGCAGCCACTTGGGGGGTGAGCCATCAGACAGAAGATCTTCCTCTCTGTCTCTTCTCTGTATATCTGACTTTGCAATAAAAATAAGATAAATCTTAAAAGAAATTGTTGATTTTAAAAAGTAAAGCAAGTGAGGCACACCAGCCTCCATTTGGCAGTTAACTTCCCCAAGTGGCTCAACAGGCAGATCTGGGCCAAGCTGAAACCAGGCGTGAGCCAGGAGTGAGGAACTCCATCCTGGTCACCCAGATATAAAATATAAAAACAAAAAAATGCTGAGAAAAAAATGTGGGAAGTTGAGCTGATCTGAAGCCAGCAGTCTAGAGTTTCTTCTGGGTCTTCCATGTGAAAGTGGCCCAAGGCTTTGGCCCATTCTATGTTGCTTTCACAGGTCATAAACAGCTAAATCAAGTGAAGAGCGGGCCATGAGCTGGTGCCTGTGTGGGATGCTGACACTGCAGATAGAGGATTAGTGTGCTGTGATACCATGTTAGCCCCCAGCTACAACATTTTAAAGAAACTCTTGGATTGTCGAAATTGGTTAAATGCTAGGTCTTTGTCTTATTTCTGACACCCATGTTGCTTTTTGAAGCTGTGTGGTGAGGTAAAGCAGGGAACAAGATTTAAAATCTGTGATAAGCTCATCCAGTATTTAAAAGCCGTTAATATTTAAACTAAAGATTTAAAGTGATTAGGATTAGTTGTACCCTTTTTAAGGATTAAAGTTTAACAGAATATGGTCATATAAAACTGATTATGAGGGGGCTGGCATGGTAGCCTAGCAGCTATAGCCCTCGCCTTGAGTGCTCTGGGATCCCATATGGGCGCCAGTTCTAATCCTGGCAGCCCTGCTTCCCATCCAGTTCCCTGCGTGTGGCCTGGAAAAACAGTTGAGGATGGCCCAAAGCCTTAGGACCCTGCACCCACGTGGAAGACCTGGAAAAGGCTTCAGGCTTCTGGCTTTGAATTGGCTCAGCTCTGGCTGTTGCAGCTGCTTGAGGCATGAATCAGCAGATGGAATATCTTCCTCTGTTTCTCCTCTCTGTATATCTGACTTTGCAAGAAAAATAAAATAAATTTTTGGAAAGAAAACCCTGAATATAGCTTAGTGGTACTTTGAGAATAACTGTTGAATGGCATATAAGTCTAACTGAATTGAAGGCTTTGCCAGTAAAAAGAAAAGAATTTTCTGAAAAGTAGGGTCACAGCGCAAGGGAGAGGGTAGAGATCTTCCACTGCCTGCTTCACTGCTTTCAACACTCCAAATAGTCCCTTTCAGTCAGACCAGAGCCGACGGGGTCCATTTCAGCAGTCTGGGTCCATTTTGGGTCTCCCATGTGAATAGCAGGGCCCCCGGGACTCAGGACATCATGCACCATCTTAGATACATGAGCAGGAAGCTGCATGTAATGTGGTGGGGCCAGCTGTTGAACTGGCATGCTAGTAAGGGTTGTGGGTGTCCCAGCAGTGGCTTCCAGAGTTCCAGTCTGTAACTGGACACACGAAAGACTGAGTTAGTGTAGTGGAAAATGAAAGGATTTTCAAGTGGTTTCAAGAACTAGAATTGCTAAAATATTTATCTGCTTTGTTATACTTTCTATGCTCAGATTTCAAAAATGATTGGAAGTGCTAAGAGTTCTTGAAAACTCCCAATGATCTATTTAGAAAATGTTATAGAAACCCCTACTTCTCTTTTTATCTTCCTCTAATTAGGGTTGCACTTCTCTTTTTAGCCATCACATTCCACTTTAAGCAGTTCAAACTTGAGTACATAACATATTTAATGTGTGTTTAGTAATCTTTAAAATTAATATTAAAATAGAATTTGTTTGTAAGTTGGAAATTGTAGAGTTATAAATTCTGGTCACTGTGCTATCCTAGGAAAGGGCAGCATTCTCTTCCAGCAGGAGTTTCCCATCCGTTGGAGTAGGAGAGATGGTGCAGTGATTGCAGCATGAAGCAGACCAAGATAGAGTAGGTGTTAAAGCATTGCACAGAAATACCAGAGGCGGTGTTTCTGGGTCAAGGGATTCCTAATTATTGTAGGAATTAAGGGCAGCATTTAAACATGAGCCTTTCTTTTTATTTAAAATAATTACAAATACTCTAGACAAAATTGTATCCAAAGGTGATTTTATGGTAAAAAGTGGATATTTTCTTTTAATTAGATATAACTCACTCCTTGTTTTTTCCCGTTTTCCACCCTCTTTCTTTACAGCTCTTCACAGATGGAATCACCAATAAACTTATTGGCTGCTATGTGGGGAATACCATGGAGGATGTAGTCCTGGTGAGAATTTATGGCAATAAGACCGAGTTGTTGGTTGATCGAGATGAGGAAGTGAAGAGTTTCCGAGTGTTACAGGCTCATGGCTGTGCACCACAGCTCTACTGCACCTTCAACAACGGCCTGTGCTATGAGTTTATACAGGGAGAGGCGTTGGATCCAAAGCATGTCTGCAATCCAGCCATTTTCAGGTACATTTCCATTTCTCAATTTCTACTTTAGAAATATGAGAGTATTTAGTGTGGTAAAGTTGTTTGTTGTTGTTAAAGATGTCTGTATTTGAAAGAGAATTAGCTAGTAGGAGAGGCGGAGAGAGATCCTCCATCTTCTGGTTGAGTCCCCAGCAGAGCAGTGGCCCGTCCAGAAGTCTGCAGCTCCACCTGGGCCTTAATGTAAGTGACAGGGTCCAAGGGTGTGGACCTTCTTCCACTGCTTTCAGGTGCATTAAACAGGGAGCATGTAGAACTCCAACCAGCACTTGTGTGGTATGATGGCCTTGCAGCTTGCAAGCTGCCTAACTGCCGCACCCAGTGCTGGGCCCCAAAACAATTAGATAAGTTGACTGGAGGAAAGGCTGGCTTGGATTCAGATAGAATATATATGTACACTGTAGAAGATTACTAGAGAAATGTCCACATGAGTTTTCTTGACAATTAATAGAGAGTAAGCCATTAGCTTTAAGTGAGTATCCACACGCCATCTCCCACTGTTCCGACTGCTAGAACAAAGAGCTCTGTTCACCTGTTGCCCAGGGTCTTCAGGCTCTGAGTGTGCAGGTTGCAGCACAAACCAATTTTAACTTTGACAGTAAAGGCGTCAATATGATAAATTTAATGGCTTTGTTTAATTCTCATCCTGCGTGTGCAAGATACTGACAACTTTACCTTTAAGCTATGGCTTAGTTGTAAAGCATGCAGAAATCTATAATTCCCCCAAAAACCTGCAGTGGCCTCTGACTGGGGCCAAAATCTGGAGTCAGGGACAGCCCCAGTGTCATTGGTAGGAATGCATCAGCTGAGCTGTTGTTGCCTTCGTTTAGGGTCTGTATAAGCAGGGGGTGAAGTCAGCAGGGGAGCCAAGTATGAAACTAAAGTGCTTCAATAAGTGGAGGCTTAGCCACTAGACCCAGACACTTACCTTAGCGTAAGAGACACTGTTTAATACTGAATATAAAATAAATGCTATGTAAATAGTTGCTATCCTGTATTTTTAAAGAATACTAATAGGGAAAAAAAATGTCTGTACCCAGTGTTCAATACAGATACAGCCACTGTAGGCCTAACAGGGCATATGAATGAGACACGAGGTGAACAGTGCTCCAACAGTGAACACTGGAGAGACAGGATCTGTGAAATTGTGAGAGATTAGAGCAAGATAGATACCTGACCTGTGTGGATTGTGTATACTGCTCAGCATCCAATAAATTCAAATCTTTGCTTTCTGGAACTTTCTGAAATTTATTTTTTTCTGAAAATTTTTTTTTTGTTCTGTAGTTGATTAAGGTTGTTGAATCTTGAGGTAAATGGTCACATTTTACTGTATGAATTTTTGTTTTAGAGTTTGAATGTATTTACCTGGGAGGGATAGAGAGAGGCTGGGGGAGAGAAAGTGCCAGAGCTACTAGTTGGGAGCTCAGTGCAGGTGATATGTCAGTGGCAGGAGCTGGGGGCAGCACTGCCATCTCCCAGGGAGCTGGAGTCAGGAACTGGTGCTGCAGGTGGGGCCCAGGCGTCCTGATGAGGGTGTGAGTCTCCTAACCAGCACACCTATGTCTGACCCTCTTAATATTAAAGTATTAATATATATATAATATATTAAAATAATATTCTTTGGGGGGCACTTGAAGTTTTCATGAAATTAATTAGGTGCCTAAGTACTGTATGGAAGATAGTTCAAAAAGTTCATGAAAAATGAAATTAAAATGAAGCTTATTTGGTAGAGAATTGTTTTGAAATCTGTACATAGTTTCTGCTACAGTTTTCCTTTTCCACATAAACCTTTTAAATTATCCTTATTAGTTCATCGTATAAGAGACTACCATAAAAATAGATTTGTTTTTCCTATAGTCTAAAAAACATAAATATGTGGTCTTGGGGGAGAGAAAGTCAGCCCGTTGTTTCATTTCTGTAAGTCTTTGCTGATTTGTTTGAGATCCATGACCTCAATTACGTGTACAGAAAATTTTAATGTTTTGGTAGTGCATTAGTCAATGATAAGACTGACACTGATAATGAAGGATGATGATTGGAATATTCAGACTGGCTTAGAGAAGGAAGTAAAGAGGTTTCGGAAGTGTGAATTTAGGGTCCTGCTTGAGAAAACCAGGGTTCAAGCGATGACTCTGACCCTGATTCAGTCATCACACCATGATTGCTAGAAAAGTGTTCAGTGATACTTGTTGAAACAGGATACTGTTGACTTTGTTCATTACAGTTGTAATTGGTGTGGGGACTGTAGCTTAGACTATGGTGGGGGCTCAGCTGCCACTACAGGCAAGTGGGGTTGATAGTTAAGGAGCAGGGTGGGAGGTTTGTGGAAGGGGCGATGAAAACAGCAAGGGGGGATATTTGCTGAAGACAGGCCAGCACAATGGTCCATCCCCAGGAGATGGCAGCATATGACAAGCCTAGTTAGGCTTCAAGGTGATCAGATACTGAGGGTTGGGCATTCTTGCTGTGAACTAATTTACCAGGATTCTTGCCCGAACCAAATTTTTCAAGACAGTGATTTAGGAGACAGCTATTTGGTAAAGAAAAATAATTATCTGTGGACATGAACTTCATGATGTGTAACTTCTTTCTTTTTTTGCTTTTTTGTTATCCACAGGCTAATAGCACGCCAGCTTGCTAAAATCCATGCTATTCACGCACATAATGGATGGATTCCCAAATCTAATCTTTGGCTAAAGATGGGAAAATATTTCTCACTCATTCCCACAGGATTTGCTGATGAAGACATTAATAAAAGGTAAGTTTACTTTTCTGTTTGAAGCTGTTATAGATTACTTTGCTCTATAAATCTATAATGAAATTGCCAAGGTAACTACAAGGTCTTTTTGTGTAAAATCTGATTTTATTTGTCCTTTTGTTTTGAAGTAAAATCAGTATTGATTGATTGGCTCTCAGAGGGCTCCACAGAAACCACTGCCTTTGTCCCCTTCCATGCCATTAATCCCCCAGTCCCGCCAGTGACAGCAAGGGGAGGAGCTGAGGATGGCAGAAGAGGAAAGGGTTGTAATGTGGAGAACATGAAATGGGTACAGTCGTTCACACTGCTTAGTTGGTTGTAGAGACCTTTTTGAAAAGTCTTTCACAGTTTTGAAAAGGCTTTAGAGTTCTACATTGGGGCGTGATAGCAATATTGGAGTGTGAAAAAGTTTGGGTTCTTAGTTTAGTCTTGATTGTTTTTATCAGTAGGTTGAAACTTTATGGGAATCTTAGCTGCTGTAAAACTGACTCCTCAAGTTCGAAAGATATTTCATTATTTTATGTAGAAATATATTGATCAGGTACTAAGAGTCTGTATGAACGTTTTTATGTAGTATAATTATTACTAGCATAAAAGTTGGAAATTTTATTTTATTCTTTATAAAAACATATGAAGGGTACATCTTTGTAATCAGAAAATGTTTTCTTTGTAAACGGTAGAGGGAAGCAGGCATGTAGTTAATTTAAAATTTAACTTGGTTCACTGTCTACAGTGTTCCTTGTTCTGTATTCTGTATACTCAACTACTGTGGATCAAAAATACTAAGAAAAATTAGCTTTGTTTTGAAAGTGAATACTTTTTTCCCTTGTTGTTGTTTCCTAAACAGCACAGTATAAGAACGTCTGATAGAGCATTTACAGTATCAGGTACTGTAAGCAGTGTAAGGATGAACTGAAGTATCACAGGGAAGTGATGTGTGTGATGTAAAAATACCATTCGTAGGGGAGTTAGGCACATGAGACTTTTGCTACGGATTGACTGATTGGAGTGGGAAGTGGGTGCTGGAGTCAGTCCCCCTCTTACAGAGGTGTGACTATATATTCATCTTTGACAAACTTTGAAAGTGTTGGGGATATTCCACCCTTCAAATAAAGGTAGGCAAACTTTTGAAGAGTACCCACTGAGCTCGATATTCAAGAAGGTACAGTATTTAAAAAAAAAAGAGAACTCTTGATGACTATGGAAATTTTTGGTGGCTAAGCATTTAGGAATGCTGGTGTTGATGGTGATATTGGAACTTAACAGTCTGGAGCCACACTGACTTATGATCAGATCTCAGTTGCCTTTGGGCAAGTTACTTTGTCTCCTTGGAATCTGTAAAATGGGAAAATGAGTAGTATGTTAACTTTAAAGAGTTTTTAATGAGAATTGATTTAGCCTATATTAAGTGCTTAAGACACTGCCTCATCAAATAAGTACTGAATATGTGTTAGCTGTTGTTTACTTGAAAGTGGGGGCAGGGGAAGGGACAGAGTCTTTTTGTCTGCTGGTTCACTCCCTGGATGCCCATAATAGCTGAGTGCCAGAAGCCTGGAACTCACTTAAGGTCTCCCCTGTGGGTGGCACATTAGTGGGAAGGTAGGATCTGAAGTTCTGAGCCAGAACTCAAATCCAAGCACTCTAAGAGATGCCTTACACGCTGTGTCAAATGCTGGTCCCATATTTTAAAAAAAAATGTTATTTAAAGAAGTTAGGTTTTGCCTTTTGTTTCCTAGACCCTCAGAGGTATACTTGGATACCCTCTGGGGTAGTGATACTTTGGAACAGCTGGAGGTGTGCAGAAAGCATGCAGCTAGAACATGAAAAACAATATTAAAAATATTTTTATATTTTAATTTTTACACAATTACAATGATCATTTTCCTTTGAGTCTTGTTATTTCCTTCTAGCACTGAATTTTTTTGTAGATAGATTCTTGAGCAATCTAACTACTTTATAAATTGCATTAAAGCATCACTTTGTGAAGTTGGGTGTCGAGAAGAGTTCAGTAGTGGGGAACATAGCAGCAGGTAGGAACCACCTGAGTAGGCAGATTGGAAATTATATAAAATAGTCTGTATCATGATGGAAACTAGAAATTTTACAATTAGAGTAATTTCAGAGACTGGAGGAAGAATCAAGAGAATGCAGGTTTAAAGTTTTAATAACAGTTTTCTAATCCTAATGATGCAATTGTGGGATTAGTAATAGCCACCTACTTTGTTTCTTTTTGTTATCAGATTAGTGGGAACATAGATGTGGTAAGTCTTGTACCACTCCTCCACATGGGAGTGCTGGTTCTGTGGTGGTTAGTCGGTGCTTCTATGCAGCATCCTGCTAACTCATCTGGGAGCACTGGGTGATGGCTCAAGTACTTGACCTTCTTGCCACCTGTGTGGGAGACGTGGATGAAGTTCTTGGTTCCCGACTTTGCTTGGCTGAGCAGGAGCTTTTGGGAGCATCCAGAGTGAGGCAGCCGATGGAAGATCTCTCTCTGTTCCTCCCCGTTACTCAGGTTTTCAAATAGATAGTGTTATACTTGTGTTTAAAAGACAAAATATAGCAATATAGAGTAATATAGGACAAAATGCTGTTATTTAACTAGCCCCACTTCTATCCTTTGGATTCTCTCTGTTCCGAGGCAGTTTCTGTAATAGTCCCTTTCTTAACATAGTTTGATGTGACATGTCTGCTTTTCTTGCTTTATTAACTATAAACAATTCTGAGAATTTACTGATTTCTGTTGCATTCAAACTTTTTTTTTAAAGATTTATTTATTTTTATTGGAAAGGTGGATATACAGAGGAGGAGGGAGAGACAGAGAGGAAGATCTTCCGTCCCATGGTTCACCCCCCAAGCGGCCGCAACGGCTGGAGCTGCGCCGATCCGAAGCCAGGAGCTAGGAGCCAAGAGCCCTTCCTGGTCTCCCATGCAGAGGCAGGGTCCCAGGGCTTTGGGCTGGCCTCGACTGCCTTCCCAGGCCACAAGCAGGGAGCTGGATGGGAAGGGGTCACTGGGATTAGAACCAGTGTCCGTATGGGATCCTGGTGCATGCAAGTCGAAGACTTTAACTACTACTCCATTGTGCCAGGCCCTATGTTCAAACTTTGAACCTTCAAATAGACAAGTTTAGTTTGATAAGTCCTTTAACTTAAGCCTTTTAAAATTAAATATCTGTCTTCACCTATAAACTGAAGATAAATGTAAAGCCTTTAACTTTAATATTTTATCTGTACATATTAGTTTTCCACGCAATTGATAGTGATACATTCTTGTCTTTTCTGCCTATAATTTAAAAAACAATATTTAAAAAAATCGAGTCAAAAGGAGGGAGAGAGATTTCCTACCTGTATATTCACTCCTCCAGCAGTCACAACAGCCAGGACTGGGCCAGGCTCAACTCGGGAACCTGGAGCTTAATCCAGGCTCCCATGTGGGTAACAAGTTCTGATTCCCTGGGAGCCCGAATCCGTAGCAGAGCATTATCCTCGCCGCCAGGCTCAATGCCTGCCACTACGCGCATATGTCTTGCCTTTTTTTTTTTATAAATTTAGATTTATTATAATAATTTCTTTTGTTCTGACTTTGGAACGCACTGATCTGTTTTTTAATTTGGGAGTGCAATTAAATGGATGAGATTTATTCAAAATAGATATTCTTAATAAAACTTGGAAAAAATGTCATTGAGAGAAACAAAATCGAACTTTTCTTTCTAATGGAAAGGTTCCTAAGTGATATCCCAAGCCCTCAAGTCCTTCAGGAAGAGATGACTTGGATGAAGGAGATTCTTTCCAACTTGGGCTCACCTGTGGTGCTTTGCCATAATGATCTCTTGTGTAAGAATATAATCTACAATGAGAAACAAGGTAGGTATTTGACCTTAGTAGTAAGTAAAGTTGGTTTCTTTGGATTCTTACGGTTTGACCTTTCTATCAGTACAAATAAATTTAATTCAAGAATTCAAGCGTTAATATCATACATGAAGTCCTTGAGGATTTTGTTTTAGGTGATAAAGTTATGATCACTGTGATAAATTTAGGAATATGTGTTGGTGCAAAATATTCTTTTTTAAATTGGTTTGCTAGAAATAGTTTACGGTTCCTGTTGGATTTTTAAATGTAAAATGATGAAAAGATTTTCTTTATATACTTACCTGTAAAATCTTTTGATTATTTATGATTGGAAAGTATACCTGCTTGTAAAGGCGGTTATGGAATATCAACAAAATGACATTGCACTGTTTTATAAATACAAAAATTGTCTCACAGTTTTGGCGAGCACAGCAGTAGTAGAAACAAAGATGTCTCCAGGCTTCCCATTACCTTCATTCCGCTGCGTTTCAATTTGGACACTAAAGAGAGGGGCGCACTTGGAGTTCATGTTGCTTATGATTGCGCAAATTTATATGTGTTACAGTAATAACCAACAACTTTTGGTAAATAATTTTAGCTTTTTCTAATGTAGACAGTGATACTTGATGATGGAATTTTTTGTTTGCATCTTGCTGTATTAATTTGACTTTCTTATTTAAGAAGCACTTGATTGTAGTATATCATTGGGTAAAGTGGTTTGAGGTTTGGTTGCTGAGTGATACATGCCCTTCAACACTAAATTGGAATTTAAAAATACAGTTTTTGGTTGAAGGATTAGCAGTAGTTTACTACTGTTTGAAGCTGTGAAGCTGTTGTAGGAAAGCAGGTCTTGAGGGTAGTCTGTACAGTTGGAAGGCTTGATTTCTGAATCGGAAGTATGCTTTTGTGAGTATACTAAAGCCAACGGAGTCTCATTAACACAGTCATCATTACATTAAGTTAATGTTTGTCACCCCTCTGATTTGATTGTAAGTTGAGACTGTTCTGTTATAGAGATTGTTAGATTGACAGGTAACTTGAAGGAAATCAAAGAAACACTGTCAGGGGTGGCAGATTAACACTTGTTTTCAAAATAGTTTGACCGTACTTTTTAAAAGCATACTGAAGTGACATCTTTATTTGTGAGTCACTGAAATTTTTGTGTGGACTCATTGTTTTCTTAAAACTTCAGGTATACACTAAAGCATTAAGTACTTGACAGTGTCCTTTAATGTATTATTGTCTGTTTCTTAATTACAGTTTTCATAGCGTATAATGGATTATATCCTGGTAACCAAATCTCAATGCCATCTCTAAAACAAGGGCATTAGTTATGCATTAAAGCAATGTGTTAACCTTTACGTTCAGTGCAAGACCCGGTACATTTTGTATAATGGAGTTTTAAAGTGAGGGACTTCATCTTACATTTGAAGTGGACACTCAGCTTTATTTTTAACTGCAAGTTAATAAAAGAGAATCTTTATTTGAAATATATTTTTAACCATTCATATATTTTATTTTTACAAGGATTTTTTTTTGTGTATTCATTTCACAGAATAAACTATAAAACTGAAAAATACGGGACCAAAAAAATCAGATTACTTTGTCTTTAACATTTTATGGAATATGTTCTTTTTTATAGAAGTCAACTGTGTACCATTTGTTTCTTGTCTTTGTGCTTATGTTTGTTTGTTATGGAAATGTTCCTTCCCAATATTACCTTACCAATGTCCATCAGGAAGTCTAGTTTTGATCATTTGGCGTTCATTGGAAGAAACCAGTTGATCTGTGATTTGCTAATATGTAAGCCTTAGGAAAAACAGATGTTTAGATAAAACTTGAAAGTAGTGAAAGTATAGTAAGAAATTCTTCCTAGGATTTGGTAAAATTAGGGGGTAATGGATTTGAGAAATTGTAATTTATGACCTATTAGAGTCTTTAGCTGTAAGTAGAAGATAACATTTCAAAAATAGCTTCATATGCCAGAAATTATGCAATAGGGACTGTATCATAGCATTGATACTGTACTTCGGTGAGCTGTCTCAGAAAGATTGGTTCAGTGACTCCAAGGCCATTTACCTTCTTAACTTACCTTGTTACATTATAAAATGGAAGTTGAATATTTTGAGGTAATTTAGGTCTAGGATATGTGATTAAGCTACATGTTATGTTCGCAAATATGTTTTTTGTCATTTTGTATGACTTAAACTCGGGGCTTCACTACTTTAAACATACTCATGAGATACAAATAGACAAAAAGTTAAAATGAAAGTGCAAGAATTGGCCATGACATCATCAAGCTTACTGTCTGAATTGTTTATTTCTCAGAAGAACTAATTTTAAAAAACTGCATGAACATACTCAGATCATCTTGAAGTCGCTGCATGTATTTTTAAGCCAAAGTAATTTAGATTTTGTGTATATTAAGCAGCTCTTGTAAATCTTATTTAAAAGTCTCAGAAAAGTCTGAACACAGACTTTAGTTTCAGTCTTTGTTCAATTACAGAAGTAAATGGGACTACACAGGTCATTTTGTCTCTGTCTGTATTTAGTCTTTCCTTGTTGTATCAGAATCATCTAGAGCACTTTGAATAAAATACAAAGCTCTGTACCACTTCCTAGGACCAGCTGAAAAATAATTAATATATACAAAATTGAACATTCACATGTTAAAGAGTTTCTCTGGCACTTTTTGCATTGTTAATAGTATTTTATTTTTGTGACTAATAGAAAATAATTCCTTTAGATGACTGCTGACAAGATTAGTTCCTGTGTATAAATGTACATGGCTCTGGACCAGGTACTTGGCAGCTCTCAGTTCTAACTATTATGCTTGATATGGCCTGGAAATAGTTTTCTCTTGGGGGCCAGGTAGTGTGTCTTGGTGGTTTTGTTGGCCATATTCTTGTCATTGTGTTGTAGCACTGCCATGTTCAATACATAGATACATGAGTGTGGCTGTGTTCAATGCATTATTTTCAAAAAACAGATGATGTTCCTACCATGCATTTTACAAAATGTATCTGATTCTGCCAAAGTGAGAAATGGTTATTGTAGGCTGGAAGGTTAATTCTATCCTGTGACTAAAAGAATTCTAGTTTACGGTAGTTTGATTTATTGTTAAGTGGAGCCTGTAGTTTTTTGTTATAAGGGTAAGCTGACTGATGAATTTAAAATTAAAGCTGTGTACATGTACAAGTCAGTGAGTGTGCATATACCGATATGCTACGTATTCGTGCGCAGTGCAAACAGAGGTTGTGAGCACCCTGAAGGTTGCGGGCATTTTTGCAGCCGATGTTCCAGGAGCTGGGAGGCATCGCAGGAAGAAGTGCTACCTCTACCTGCCCTCAGCGTGTCCGATGACAGGACTCGGGAGTGTGGGGGAAGAGTGAGCCTCCTTTCTCAAGTTGATCCTGTTAAGAATTTTGAACAGTTAGTGCCAGAAATTAGGTGGTTGGTAAACAGCAAGCCCCTTCCTTGCCTTCACTGAAAGGACATCCTAAACAGGTAAGAGAAGAATACTTAATGATAATGATGATAGAATTGTATATATAATAAAAAACTGAAAGCAGTGGTTCTTGCTCCAGAATCATAGTCTCACCAGGCATCTCTTAATTATCAGTTGAATAGATATTATACTAAGTGAACGGATTGTAATGTTGCTTACTGACTTCAGAGCTACTATTTTGATTTCCACTAATCTTTTAATTTTTAACATGTTCGAAATAATTGCCAAAACTTCAGAGATTGTTGCCTTATGTCTTGATGCTGTCAGGATATTTGTTGATCTGATGACCCATGGTGACTATTTCATTGCCTTTCCCTGGGGCCCGTAATTGTTAGAACTCACGTTATGGTTCAGCACAAAATTTTAAATTTCACTAATGACAATCACTGTTTATTTTCTGTTAGCAAAATATAAGGTGCTGATTTATAACTCTTTAAATACATGTCAATAGGAAAAAGGGTTTTATTTTAGTCTTAAAAAAGGCATTAAACCAAATTTTTCTTTCGTTTTATATAGTGTACTTTGGGAGTGGGTGAGTCACTGGTTCTACTCCTTAGGCTTTGGTGATGCCCCCTTGCCCAGTAGTTTCCAACTACATTCCAAGCTACATTTTTCAGATTGAAGTTTTTTTTTTTTTTTTTTTTGTTGTTGTTGAGCATATAGTGACAAAGGGAGAAACAAAAGAGCCATTTCCTATCTCCTGGTTCGCTCTATAAATGTCTATAAAAGCCAGGGCTGGACCTAATGAAAATCAGGAATCATAAACTCCTAATGAAAATCAGGAATCATGAACTCCTAATGAAAATCAGGAATCATGAACTCCTTCAGGGATCCCAAGTGGGTAGCCAGGGACTCAAGTATTGAGCCTTGCACCTGCATCTCAGGTTCATTGGCAGGGGTCTGGGGGGGGCTACAGTGGAAGTGGGTGGAGCTGGGATTTCAGCCAGCATTCTCAGGCGGGTTTGATGGCATTGCAAACTGTGACTTCCTCTGTGTCTCAGTACCTGCCCTAGAGATTTTTTTCAGTGAGGGATTGATTATCTTAACTCTGTTTTAATTTTGTAATCTAGACTACTAATTAGCAGATGGTAAAGAATTCTTAAAGTTATGTAATATAAACCTAGGTTGTAAAAACTGGAATTGCTAAGGAAGAGTGCCCCCACTATATTAGTTGTAATTTTGTCCCCAGAATTCATACCTTCAGACCTGTACTGTGTATTCAGTCATACATTTGAAGAAGAATGTAAGAGAATGTAATTTTTTCCTCAGTGTATCATAGTTTCTAGTTTGCCCCTTACCCACCAAATGTGTTATTTGGTCTCAGCTTTCTCTGCACAACTTGCATTTATTCCTGTGTGTGCCAGTGTTGCCCTGTGGCTAGCAGGGCAAGAAAATGCAATGAAGCTTGTTGCCGTCCTTGAGGAGGCCCTGTAGTCCCCCAGGGTGAGGGCAGCGCTCAGGATATGTAGCGAGTCCCGCTGTGGAGCACAGTACATTCAGTTTCTCAGACAGAATGCATCCTTCAGCCAGCACTGTGTGTGGAGGGTTACCTTTCTCTAGTCTCCATTGGCCTCACACATCAGAACAAGTAGAATGAGTTGGAAGGATTTCAGGTTCTTATTTTTTACTTTTGTCTCTCTTAATAAAGTAGGGAATTTCAAACTTAGCGTGTGATAGTTCTATAACATTGAATGACAAATTACTTTCTAGTTTTTAAAAATACTTTTAAAATTAGATCAGTTTCAGCACCCTAAAGTTTGAATAGTCTGACTCATGTGGATTTTATTACTGTAAAGATTTGTAAGACATGCTAGTAAAATGCGAATTTTGAGAATTTATGGTTTTATCCATTAACCACATATTTTATTCATTTTATGTTTATTGTCGTGTTAACTGTACAAAGGTAAATGAAATGGCAGTCCTAGTCTGTAAAGTAGTATTCTTTATTTTATAGAATTCAAAGATCCTTTGAAATCTGGGAAATTGAAATTCCCCTCCTTGGAAGAAGCACATGCATGTAACTTTTTGTCTTCCTCCCCTTTGAAGCCCCAATTAAAAAGTCTGTCTTAAAAGAGTGACCAAGAAGGCCATGCAGTAAGAACTAGTTAAGCAATAATAAGTAAATGGGCATTACTCTGCAAGTAATGAGAAATTTTGAAAATTAGTTAAATTAGATGAAAAAGGTATGGTATTTGTTGCTAGGAAAACATTTTCCAGTAATTTGATTTTTCTGGCACCCTAAACAAGGCTGTAAGCCTCTTTAATTTTACTCGGTTGCAGAATATTAAATTTAAGGTTGAGTTCCACTTTGTTTGCAATAGAATAGTTAATGCAGATTTTTTAAAACAATTTTTTTCCTTTTAAGCTTTGTGTGTTGTAAAATGTGAGTTTGCCAAATTCTCTTCATCTGCTACAGATTAGGTATGCCATTGTTGCTGCCATGTGGCGGCGCACCCCGTGCTTCTTAAACGCACTGACTGGAGGTTTATCGCATCACTTGTTCACATGCACGGAGCCTGGTAACAGCCTCATCTGTATCTTGTTAGCTTCATTTTCTTATTATTTAAATTGCATTATTTATAAACTCAACATAGCATTTAAAGATAAAGGCTAGTTTTAATGAATTAATGTTACTACAAAAAGTCACTGCTAAAAATTTCATACTGAAACAGATTTTAACTTGTAAATATTAATTAAAATGTATGTACTCAAAAACAGGCATATTTTATGTGCCATTTAAACTGTATTTGCCAAATTCTAAATATAATTTTGAAAATTGAAATCAAAGCTTTTATTTATATAACAAAAGTAAACTTCAGGTCTCGGCTGTGTATTTTTACTGGCATTTTCAGTTTGTATGAGCTCTACAAGAATTTGTGTTTAGAAAATTAAAAGTCAACAGCTGTAGTCTAGAAATGATCTAATCAAACTGTTCTGGATCGGTTGTGCACCTTGGTTTTTCCTGTAGTCTGATTTTCTGAAGGCCGATGGTAGGTATCTTTTGAATCAATGTGGTGTTTTTATTTTCCCACATACTGTTTTATATACAGAATCATCTTTTAAAAAATCTTACATTTTTCTTTAAAAAAAACCCTAACATTTACTGTAAATAATTTTAAAAATACAGAAAAATAAAAATCACTGCCTTGTATGGGATGAAACATTTGCTTTGATTTATTTCCACTGTTGGTCCCTTTTTGTTCCCATGTTTTTGTTTTTGTTTTTTGTTTGTTTTGTTATTTTCCCTCTCTTTAGGCATGCTTTATAATGACTTCTTTATCTATATGACTTTTCTAGTTCCCCAGTTGTTTTCTCTGAAATTGAGATTTTTTTCCCTATGATTGTATTTTTTTTGTGGCTACCAATATTTTATTATGTGAAGGTCTCTACTCTCTCATTCCTGATGACTTTAGAAATTTAAATATATGTTCCATTCTATAGTTTTAGAAAAATTAGTTTGTAACATTTTGTGGAATAATTTTCTATAAGTTCAAGAATACAATACTTGAGACATTTGCATTGTGGTAATTTATTTTCACCAGCATTTATAGATTTTAACATGATGTTTTAATAATTGAGTTATGATTCTTTGATTGCTGTTATATTCTGGACTTCACTAATTATAAAAAGCTAGAATTACATATTAGAGTCATCTATCATTACTTTTACAAAATCCTGAATTTGCATGACCTTTTTTTGTGTGATATAATTCTGCTAGTCTCTGTTGATTTATATGGTCAGCGTAATTCTCCAAAGTAAGCATGAAACCCTGTATTGAGACATTGTAGTCCAAAAGCTGTTTTCTTTGGAAAATACCAAAATACATAGCCAGGAGTTTATCTCCTTGCAAAAATCAGTAAGCATTTCTTGTGTGTTTTCAGTGTGAGCAGCTTAGCCACTGTTGTGGCCAGCCTTGTGTCTGGGCCCATTCTCCTGAAAGTGTCTTGAGTCTGTGGTTTCTCATGAAGATAGGGAATCGCCCTTAAAATTTTTATTTAAATGTCCTTTATTCCCCCGTTTTTTAATCTTGGCTGTTTTGGACTTGTATCGTGTCCAGCCAAATCCATCACATGCTTTCCTCAGGATTCCATAGTTAGAAGTGTGTTGTTCGAATGGGAAGAACAGAATTTTTTTGGAGAATCACAAAGAAATATATACTGTGTAATAACATATTTAGCTTTTGTATTTTTCAAGTTTATAAATGTTAAAAAAGAAGCCCTGCTCTTTTTTTTTTTTTTTTCAAAGACAGAAACGGTAGCTTTGTGGTATCCAGGGAATACAGAACATGAAAGCAACATCCTAACTCAGTGACACAGCTAGATTAAATTTGTCAGTGACTAGTATTTTGTTAAAATTGTATACATTTCTAATGTTTGCCTGATAGTTATTGCTAAAGAAACCTGAATTTTTGAGTAACTGATGCCCCCATGTGGCAAAAAACATTTTTGACTTTTGTTGGAACTTTTTCTTTTTTCTTGAATGAAGTGGACGAAAGTGTTCACCAAGAAGCTGTTGACCAGGAGATACAGTTTGAATTTTGTAAAGCTCATTGCCATTAAAATTCACAGCCTTGTCCTGTATTGTCTCAGAAGTGCATGTAACCAAGCACGTACAATGAGACAGAATATTGGAAGCTATTTAATTATAAATAGCATAGGGATTTTCTGATCGTGTATGTGATTTCTTAATGCCTTTTTTTGTGTCTCACATAGGTGATGTACAGTTCATTGATTATGAATATTCTGGATACAACTACCTGGCATATGATATTGGCAATCATTTCAATGAATTTGCAGGTAAAATCTACAGTTAACTAATAGAATAACTTACTTAGCTGGTCAGCCATTTATCTGGAAAAGGTATTTTGGGAATTATGATTTTTTTTTGTTAAAAAAGGATGAACCTGCTATAGGAGCAACATTTTTCCTTTTTTTTTTTTTTTTTTTTTTTTTACTGAAGGAAAAGGAGATAAACATAATTTCTTGCTTAATTACCATCAGAAAATAATGAATACAAGGAGCGTAATGACTGTGGTTTCTGTTGAGAACCGACAGTAGTCTTTGCTCACAGTATTCTGTAAATCTCATTGCATTTTTCCCTCCACAACAAACATATGGTAATAGTCCCAGTTTATAGATGAGGGAGGACTTACCAGGGCCAAAATAAAATTCAGAAAACTTTTGGAACCCAATTTTTTAAAAGATGATTATATATAATTTGGAAAATCATTTGCAGAGAGAAGGAGAGACAGATGGAAAGATCTTCCATCCACTGATTGGCTCCCCAAGTGCCCACAATGGCTGGAACCAAGCTGATTTGAAGCCAGGAGCTGTCTCTGGGTCTCCCATGTGGATGCAGGGTCCCAAGGCTTTGGGCCGTCCTTGACTGCTTTCCCAAGCCACAAGCAGGGAGCTGCTTGGGAACTGGTGCCCATATGGGATCCTGGCACGTGCAAGGCAAGGATTTTAGCAACTAGGATAGTGTGCCAGGCCCCTGGTACCCAAGTTTTAATTTTGTGTAGTTTTGTTTATTAGTTTTAGATTTTTGGCTTTTTTGCATATTAAGTAGGAAGAAAGAGAAAGACATACAGAGTGAGTGAGCAAGCTTGAATTTACTCATTCATTCCTCAGATGCCTTAGGGGTCAGGGCAAGTCCAGAGCAAAGCCAGGAACTGAATCCAGGTTGTTAGTGCAGTGGCAGGAACCCAACTAGCTGAGTTGTCACCACTGCATTCCAGGAACTGACTTAAAAAACTTTGTCTCTCTTTTACTTATTTGTGTTTAAGAGACAGAAATCTTAAACTTTCATCTGCTGGCTTAGTCCCCACATGGCCACAGCCACCAGAGCTGATCCAATCTAAAGCTGGATCCAGGAAGAACTTCTGGGTCTCCCATATGGGTTCGGGGTCCAAGGCCTTGGGCCACCCTCTGCTACAAAGCTTTGTCTTTGGCTATGAATATTGAGGAATTACTCATTTTTACTCTGGGATGTTAATAGAACCTCTGTGTTAAGTAAGTTTTAGTATTTTATGTAAGTGAAAGTGTTTAAAATTCATTTTGCAACTATCTGGAAACATGCAATACTCTAAAACTGGGCTTTGAGAAATTCCCTTGAATGATTTTCACTTGATAGGTTTTTCTTTTCTAAAAAAGATGGAAGATCTTTCCTCTCTGTAATTCCATCTTTCATGTAAATAAATAAAATTTTTAAAAAAGATATACTGGAGATGTATTTAGGTTTAGAACAATTTATGAATTGATTTTAGAGCTTGAATGCTAGATAAAGCCCTAAGTTTATCTTCTAAGCTTGTAACTTTGCATCATGAAATAAACCTTGTGTGATAATGGAATTATTTTTCCCAGGGAAGGGATTGAAAGAACAGAACATTTCATAGTTAGAATTATTGTTTTGAGACAGAATCAGCTATAAGGACAAAAAGAAAACCTAAGTTTCTTGGTGTAAGTCATGGTAAAAAAAAGAAAAAATTTTGAGCCATGCTTTAAGGTAGTGCCCCAACTGTTTAAATTTTGTGCAGTGTTTACTAAAACATGGGGGGTGGTTTAATTTACATATTTAGAAAAAAAGTGCAGCAACAGGAGTTGTTTATGGTGATCAACACTATTTTGTCTTTAAGATGGAATTATTTTTACTGGAAAGTCAGGTTTACAGAGTGAAGGAGAAACAGAAAGATCTTGTTTGCTGGTTCACTCAGCAAATGGCGATAGCAGCTGGAGCTGAGCCAGAGCCAGGAGCCAGGAGTTCTTTCCAGGTCCCCATGCAAGCGCAGAGTCCTAGAGCTTGGGGCTGTGCTCTGCTGCTTTCCCAGGCCACAAGCAGAGAGCTGGATGGGAAGTGAGGCAGCTGGGACACAAACTGGTGCCATATGGGGGTCCCAGTGCGTCCAGGGCAAGAACGTTAGCCACAAGGCTATCATGCAGGGCCCTGGCTTATTTTAATAAATGCTATTAATATCTAATGTTGCAGTCAAAATTATAAGGAAGCGTGTTTTATATTGGTGGTGGTAATGATTATTAAGTTGCTCGGAAGAGAGTGTTTTGAAAGCCTTCAGTCTGTGTTTTTGTTCTTTGCTTCTTTGAAGGTGTGAGTGACGTAGACTATAGTCTCTATCCAGATAGGGAACTCCAGGGCCAGTGGCTGCGCTCTTACCTGGAAGCCTACAAGGAGTACAAGGGCTTTGGGACTGAAGTTACTGAGAAGGAGGTGGAGATACTCTTCATTCAGGTCAATCAGTTTGCTCTGGTAAGTGTAATTGTAAATAAACAATAAAAAATTCTTCCGTTTTCATTGTCTTGTAACAGTTTCCTATTTTACGTTATATGAATTTTTATTGTAAACATGAAGTTTGCCCTCAACCCAGTGTCTTGCTCTAAAGGACAAAACTTTGGTTTATTCTCTGCTGATATCCTTAGCCCCTGGTAATATGATAGGTGCTCAGGAATTACTTGTTTAATGAATAAGTTCTAGTTAGGGTTAGATTAACATCTAACACAGTTTTTTGTTGGGTTACTTCCCTTTCTTTACATCATATTATGAAAAACATAATCCAGAACAGATTTATAAGATATGAGGTTTCCCCCAATATCCTTAATCTTAACTTTTTGGTGCTATTGTGATATAAAGAGGTTAGAAAAACTAGCAGGATTATGTCTGTTTTGTCTTCTTGACCTTTTTGTTTCTTAAAACAACTATTTCTTGCTGCTTTGGTGTTTTAATGCTTTGTTATTTTAAAGACCACTTCTTTCGGTGCATTTTTAAAAAACATTAGATCACTTTAATTACCTTCTAAGAATGACATGCTGTATTAGGATGAGTTTTCAGCTAAGGTGTTAATTGAATAGTAGGTGAAAGCTACTTTAGCTATTTCTTTTTAAAAAGATTTATTTACTTATTGGAAAGTCAGATATACAGAGAGGAGGAGAGACAGAGAGGAAGATCTTCTGTCCGATGATTCACTCCCCAAGTGAGCGCAACGGCCGATGCTATGCCGATCCGAAGCCAGCGGCCTCTTCCGGGTCTCCCACGCGGGTACAGGGTCCCAAAGCTTCGGGCCAGCCTCAACTGCTTTCCCAGGCCACAAGCAGGGAGCTGGATGGGAAGTGGAGCTGTAGGGATTAGAACCGGCGCCCATATGGGATCCTGGTGCATTCAAGGTGAGGACTTTAGCCGCTAGGCCACGCTGCTGGGCCCTACTTTTAAAAATCTTGTTTATGTGCCTAAGTTATTGAAAAGGAGAAGGAGCGAAAGAGATTGACTTTGAAGCTGCTGAATGACTCCCCGCAATGCCCACCACAGCCACAGCTACACCAGGACAAAGACAGATATCCAATCAGGGTCTCCCATGTGAGTGGCAGGGACCCAGGTACTTGAGCCACCTGCTGCCTCTCACGGTGCATTAACACAAAGCTGGAGAGGCCAGTTATATGGAGAGGTTAGCTTAATACCTTAAAAGGTGAAATTGAAAAAAGTATTAATAAATTACTTGAATGGTAGTTGTAGGAAGAGGGAAAGAGAATGAAAGGCCTTCCATGCATTGATTCACTCCCCAAGTGACTGTCAGTAGCTATCAACCATGGCTTGGCCAAACTGAAGCCAGACACCAGGACTCCCTGGTTGGTCCAGGGACCCAAACACTTGCTTTTCCTGGTGTATTAGCAGGGAGCTATTCCAAAGTGGAACTGTGCTGGGCCTGGTGTGGTGGCTGAGAGACTAAATCCTTCCCTGGTTTATGCTAGGGCAAGTGTAGCCACTAAAAACACTTAAGTAGTGTCTGTTAGTGCTGATGCTTCAATCTGTTATATGCAAAGCAAGTTAAGGAATTAGTCTGTAAATTTTTTTAAAAAATTTATTTTTATTGGAAAGTCAGATTTACAGAGAGGAGGAGAGACTGAGTTAGAGAACCTCCATTTGCTGGCTCACTCCCCACGTGGCCACAATGGCCTGAGCTGAACTGATCCAAAGCCGGGAGTCAGGAGCTTCTTCTGGGTCTCCCAAGCAGATGCAGAGTCCCAAGACTTTGAGCTGTCCTCAGCTGCTTTCCCAGGCCACAAGCAGGGAGCTGGATGGGAAAAGGAGCAGTGCCTAAATGGCATCTTGGCGCTTGCAAGACAAGGACTTTAGCACCATGCTGAGCCCTGGTCTATAATTTTTTAAAACTATTTCAGAGAGACAGAGCGCTCTCTGCTTACCGTGTCTTCTAGGCTAAGCAGCCACCATGTATTTTATGTATATTTAAAATTTAATTTGAGGGCCTGGCGGCGAGGCCTAGCTGCTAAAGTCCTCACCTTGAACACACCAGGATCCCATATGGGCGCCGGTTCTAATCCCGGCAGCCCCGCTTCCCTTCCAGCTCCCTGCTTGTGGCCTGGGAAAGCAGTTGAGGATGGCCCAAGGCTTTGGGACCCTGTACCCACATGGGACCCTGTACCCACATGGGAGACCCGGAAGAAGTTCCTGGCTCCTGGCTTTGGATTGGCATAGCATCGGCCGTTGCGCTCACTTGGGGAGTGAATCATTGGATGGAAGATCTTCCTCTCTGTCTCTCTTCCTCTCTGTATATCTGACTTTCCAATAAATAAAAAATAAAATCTAAAAAAAAAAATTAATTTGAGGAGGCAGAAAGAGAGATATTCATTCCATCTACTAGTCCGTGCCCCCAAATGACATCCAGGACAGGACCAGGCTAGCCTGAAGCATGGGGAATTGAACTCAGGTCTCCCACGTGGGTGGCTGAGATGAGACCCAGGCATTTCAGCTGTCACTTCTCACAGGATCTGCATGGACTGGAAGCTGGACTTGGAAGCCGTAGCTGGGCCTGCAACCTCGGCACTGCACTGTGGAATGCTGGCATCTTGCCTGCTAGGCCAAGCATGCACTCTTTAGAGTGTAATTTGCCTTGTGTTGTTCTGATGTGGATACATCAGTGGAAATCCAGGAACTGTGCTCCTCAGTATTCTTGTTTCAGGTGTTATGTAAGATGCTTAGCAAGGAGCCTGTGATCTGATCTGGCTTCCTTCTAATAAGCCTGAGAAAGCATGGAAGATGGCCCAAGTGCTTGGGCCCCACCAATGTGGGAGAGCGTGGGGGAGTTCTGGTCTCCTGACTTTGGCCTGGCCCAGCGCCAGCCCCTTGTAGCCATGTGAAGAGTTAACCAGATGATGGGAGCTACCTCTTTCTCTGCAATGATGCCTTTGAAATAGATAAGCATATCTTACACAAAATTAGCAGCAAGACGGTATCATGCATGAAATTGATAGAAGATGTAATTAATAACTTAATACTATGTTTTCAGAGAAATGCATTGTGATAATTTTTTATTTCGCTTTCCTTCTTTTAAGGCTTCTCATTTCTTTTGGGGATTGTGGGCTTTGATTCAAGCCAAATACTCCACTATTGAGTTTGATTTCCTTGGGTAAGTTTTAATTTTATTGTATATGTTACACTTGTCTCTGCTTTGTTTGCATTAACATTCAGAACTCGCAGGAAATATTGCTGCTGTCTTAAATTAAATATTATAAGGGCTGTTACATTCAATAATCAGTCTGTGAGGAAATCTGCTATAAGCTGATAAATATTCTGAGTATTGGAAAAGTCCTGAGTAGCTGGTGCAGTAGATCAAACATCCATCCTTTGAAGAGTATAAACTCAAAAATTCAGTGTAGAAGGGTGAATGGAAATAAAGGATTCGTTTTTTTAGCATTGACTAATTTTGCCATTATTCTCATTTCTCACTAGGTATGCAATTGTTCGTTTTAACCAGTACTTTAAAATGAAGCCTGAAGTTACTGCATTAAAAGTGCCTGAATAAAGAAGAGATTTAGTTATTCTCAAGAAGCTGGGCAATGCTTGTGAATCTTTTCTTAAGAAATTCCAAAAAGCCGATATTTGTTAAAATTCTGTTAATTTGGTTATCTTGCTTTAAAAATTATGCCTCTAAACAACCAATCTATTTTTGAATAGACTGAATGATGTCAAGAAATAGATCAGCTTTCAGAATGTGGTGAATTAAAAATTTGTTAAATGTGCAAAAGGTATAAAGATGTCAGTTTAAGCCTTTAATAATTTAATCTGTTATGTGAATTATTTATTATAAGCTCAACAAGATTCTGTGATTGCTTTCATCTGTTGAGTGTAAGCAATGAATATGTTCTAGTTAAAACTTTTAAAATTTTGCTTTAATAATTCTAGTAAACATTCTTGTTCAGTGTAACCCTTTAATCTTGATGTATTCTGTAAGTAAAATGAATCATTTGCTCTTAGAATGGCAGTTGTTGACTGGCATTAGATAATTTAGGATATTCATGTGAAAACATGTGTTTAGGAAGGTAGAATACATTCTGTTGATGGTACATCTTTTTGAACTGAGCTTTAAAAAGCATTTCTTTTAGAAATACAACTTAGAACTAATTCCCATCTCTGCATTGTCTGCAGTATAAATAGAAGTATTTACCATATAATCCTGAAATAAGTATAATGATTTAGTATTACCAAAATCTGTATTAAATAATGTTTTCAAATACTAAGTATGACCACTTAAGTTACTAGTTTCAGTTCTTAAAAATTGTTTTGTCAAATTGTTTCTAACCAAAAATTTGGTTTTCGCTTTATTGATATGCTTTTTTGTTTTTTGTTTTTAAATTTGACAGTAATTTGTGTGTGTGGTTAATTTTTGAGACCTGTGTACAAAGTTCATCGTGTCTGGAAGCAAGGAAATATCATAGATTTTTTTAAACCTATCTGCATTCATTCCTTATGTTTTATGTGTTAGTTTGATTTTGTGTCTTAAGAGTAGTAGCAAATAATCAATTGATACGTGTAAGTGCAGAGTAATATGTTGTGGTGGTTAAAAGAGTAAGGAGCATTTAGTACATTGATCTTGTACACTTAAAATCTGACAAATAACAAAATGTGAATTAAGCAGAAATACTCATGGTAGGAGGATTTCTGTTTGTTTTGTTTTATTATGTTTAAGTATGTCTTTAGTTTTTTTTAGTGATTGAGAGACAGTTATTACATGAAAGATCTTTGAGATAAAGAAATAAACTTCAGGTTTTGAAGACTGCTATGTGGACCCGAGCAGTCCTGGTGAACCCTGCTTAAAAGATGAGTCTGACAAGCCTTGCACTTTCGTCACACAAGTGCCCATGTACAAAGTTGGCTTAATGGATCTGCATATTCAAAATATGCAGCTATAAATTTATGCTCAGAAATCTGGGGAGTCTGATGTAGTATTCCTGTGACTTAACATTTCTCAGATGAATGTTTTACAGTACTTGGATTATCTTCAGATGTTTAAAGCTCATAAAACGAGTAGAAACACAGAGGCCATTGAAAATGGTAAATTCTAGTTACATAAACAGAACCTCGGAAAAAAAATGTCTGTATCTATACCAGTGTTAGACCATCATTTGGTTTCTACCTCCCCAGTTTTGTAAATGTTCTCTTTTGCTTTTGTAAACCCCATTATTGTTAAGATAGAGTTTTGCCTAGTTGCTTAAGTGAATGAATGGATTAATAGCTTTTTGTTATAGTGAACTTAAAAAATTTTTTTGGTAGAATTTTGTTTATGATTGAAACATTATAGAAGGATAAGGGGGTATGTAGTGCTTTTTTGTTTTGTTTAGCGCTTTCTCGCTTTTAAGATAAAACAGCAGCATATATATCTTGTAGAACTTTGAGACAGAGAGATTTTTGTTCCTAATCCATATTCTCACTTCAGAGTATTTTGGGTAGAGTTTCCTTGAGTCATTGGGCATAGGCTGTACAGAGCTGGTAGGTGTGACACTATGTTTCAGACAGTCGTAGAAGTGGATGTAAATGGGAGTACAGGCTCTCACTGTAGCCCTGGGAATACACATTACATCTTGAGTACAAATTAAGGTAATTAAGCTGTTGCTCCCCTCTTTGGCTAGATTTTGGGTTGTGATGCTTTTTTGCTTCCCAGATAGGTTTTTGGAATCTTGGTGTAGGCTAGCGGTAGGGTTCAAAATTATTTCCCTTTATATTGTCCATGTAAGGGATTCTGAAGGAGGGTTAATCTGACAGCACCCTAAAATCATCTTTCTAAAATGTGTCCTGTGGCTTGCTGAGATGTCAGTTGCCTTTTTACGTTAAGCTAAGGAACTTGAATGCCTTATGTAACCACTCAGCTGGTAGTAGCTCATTATGTAAATATGGAAATGATTGTTAAAAGTGGCATTCACGTATTTCAATGTTAGTCATAGACCATAGTGGCCTGGATGCTTTAATAAGCAGAATTCCATATTTTCCCCCTTTTCCCACTTGCATACATGTATGACCTTACCTGAGCAGCTGTCACCATTTTCTGGAAATCAAAGAGATGTGGTAGTAAGTTATACTTGTCACCTCATCTGAGATCAATATGAGCACAAAACTCATTCAACTAGGTCTGCCTGGAATGTATATAAAGTACTGTAAATAAAGAATTGTAAATTAGTGTGAATTGTATCTTGCATACGAGGCTGTATGTTGTTTTGCATTCTTTCCCCCTTTTTGTAGAAATTGATCTGTAAGGAAAAGATCCAGCTTGTTGGTTTTAGACTGGAAATCACCAACAGTTCTGGCTGCACAGCGAGTGAACAGGAACTGGAAGTAGGGTTCAGCAGCTCTGGCTAGTGTCAGTTCTTAATTTATGTAGCCTTTCAGTGCCTCATGGGACTCTCTGTTTTTTAATTGGCTGTTAGTTGATGTGAGCTTAGCTTCCTGGAAGCATTTAATGTGTACAGTTTTAATAGCTCCTGTTTTGAGTCATACTTCCACACTAAAAATACAGTTCTGGGATTGCAAACTAAATTCTATTACCTTTTCCTGTATTCAGAATTGGTAGCCTTTATGTACAAAAAAAGTCTTGAAATTTCCTTTATCTCAATGTGAACCTAAATCCAAAACTGTCCAGAGATAAGACAGAGCACAGCTTTGTGTCCGTACAAGCCTGTCTTGGGTGACTTCTCTGAATTGAAGCTTGTTCCTTGTAGCATTGGAAAAAGACAAGACATGAGTTAATCTGGTGATGACAGCTCTTGCCACATTGTCAGTGAACTAATAATAAATAATTCTATTTTAAAATTCATAAGTTTAAAAGTGATTGAAATTTCCAGATTCAGTAAAGAAAATCCCAAGACATTCTCAGTATAAATTATAGCCTTTACTTTTCAACTTAGGCAGGTATTTCATTTTTACTTCATATAGAAGTCTTGTTTGAATTTCTTCATGTTGTAAATGATGAAACTACAATGTTTGGGTTTTTTTGCTTTAAATTGCTTTTCACGAGCATTTTATACTGCATTCCAAAGTGCTATAGATACAAGCTTTTAATATTCATCATAAAAGTTACTGCTTTATGCCAAGAGCATCTTGCAGTTGGTGGTAGCCCACACTGCTCTGCCGAGGGCAAGTGCGTAATCACGAGCTCCAGCAACTTCATTTTTATTTCAAAGTTGAACAATTGCTTTTTCTTCTGTAGTTCGTTTGTTTTCAGGATATCCTGTTACTGGGAATCTAGCCACATATTAAAGCAGTCTATTTTTGATTTCTTTTTAAAGAAGACGTTGATAATATTGGACCATCTTTTATTTTATGTTACTTTTTCTTATTCCATACCAGTTATGTGATTACAGTGTGGAGTGTTAGTTCTTATGTCTCCAGGCAGAAGAATGTATCAGTTCTTTTAAATGAATTTTTCCCTGTCTCTGAAACTCAGACTGCAAATGTGTCATTGCCACAAAAGAAAATGCTTGGGTTTGCGTTACTTGAATACTTGAAAACTGAAATTGGTAAGATTACATTATGTAATGAACTAGGTTTTTCTGAACTGAGGGTTTTTGGTTTTGTTTTTACTGACAAAATTCGTTTCTGGATAAAATAAAGATCTGAATGATCTGAAGTATAGAGCTAACTGGTGCTGTAAGCAGTCCGAGCCCGTGGTGTCAGACGGCTCCAGAGCCCCGGCTGCTCGCTAGGTTTCCTCTTGGAATCTCCTGACTCTCCTGTGCTCCGTGCGCTTCCTCCTGGAACTGATGCTGTAAAACAGCTGGCTGAATGTCATAAACTCGATGTTCTTTATGAATCTCACAGCTTTTTTAGTTAGGAAAAAATAGTCTCAAGTGTAGCGCTATTGCCATATTTTTTTGGTTAATGTTTTACCCGTGAATGGTATCTTCTATACCATTAATCCTTTTAATAATGCATTTATAAAAATTTAAAACATGACATATTGTATTTGAAGTAGGTAGTGAAGAACACACAAACAAACAAAAAAAAAAAAACCTAGCCATTAAGACTGTAGGTGTCCCATTAGTTAAATTTAAAAATCTTCAATAAAGGAACTTTGAGAGATGGATTGAGATGCAGTGGGATCTGAGTGGACTAGCTCCTGTGACTAAAAGGAACCCCGCCAGCAGGAGGGCACGTGGGAGGGCATTCACTGGCCGTGCTGTGGTGGCCTGTGCTCCTGCATAAGTAACCACGCGTGGGGAACACACTGATGCTTTTGTTGCCCAGTAATCCAAAGTAGTCCTGCATTCGTCTGCACATTGATAAAATCCACAAAGAAGAAACTTTATGACTGTGCTGTATTTAGGAGTCTTTATTCCGCTAGGTAGGACCCATGATACAAAATATTTTGGATTTTAAAAGTTCCTGTCATAAGGAAGAAGACATGGCCTTATCCCATGTGCTTAAATGAGAATTTGCTTATTCAGTTTCAGAATTTAAAAAATATGAAATGAGTATCTGTCACTGTGTTCGCTGTATGTTGAATTGGCAAATTGTCGCCTGACGCCTAAATCTGTGTTTATCCAATGTGAAGCACCGTAGTGTAATGCTGCTTTGTATATACTGTAAGTGCTGCCAGCAGCCTCAGCACTGAACGTGTACCGATACCTCTCAAATGATGCAACCTTCCATGTAGGTGTTTTGATAAGCCTCAGAAAAGTATCCGAGTGTGAATTTGCTAATCTGTTTGGTAATGAAGATACTTCCTGTTCTTTGTTGTTGTTCCATATTTTCATGTTTAAATTTGAATTTTTACATTTTTACTACTGTTAATTTAAGTAAAATTTGTTCAATGGTTAAAATGGGGTTGTCAGTGAAGAAACTTAAAACAGCCTCATTCATGTAACTGTTTAAAAATTACATTTTGTGTTCTCTGTTGATACACTTTTCATGAACTGTATTTCTGTTTAAGAGATGTTCAGGCTTTCTGTTTAATAAGGCTTTTTACCATTGATTAAATGAAGGAATGTATCTTTTTGAAGAGATTTATATTCTGTAAATAAAAATTGGTTGTAACAATAAAGTTGGGTTCTGACTTCAGTGTATCAATTTTGTTTTTCAAGCTATTTTGTATTTTATTGGAGTATCTTGAAAAAAAAAAGCGGCTTCACAATTAGTTTTTAAATGTGTTTTTGGATTAATTACAATTTTTTGTGTTTAAGATTTTATTTTTATTGGAAAGGCAGATTTACAGAGAGGAGAGACAGACATCTTCACTGTCCACTGATTCACTCCCTAAATGACCTTAGTGACCAAAGCTGAGCTGGTCCGAAGCCAGGAGCCCGGGCTTCTTTCGGGTTTGCCACACAGGTATGGGCCGTCCTCGACTGCTTTCCTAGACCACAAGCAGGGAGCTGGATGGGAAGTGGAGCCCATAAGGGATCCTGGTATTGGCAGGCAAAGGATTAGCCAATTAGAGCATCTTGCTGGGGTTCCCACCCCCCTTTTTTATGAATTGCTTTTATTTTTATTGGAAATGCAGAGTTAGGGACAGAAAATCTGATTTTATGAGGTAAAATTTGAAGAACATTGACATTTCTTGAGATGGAAATAAAGAATATTATGAACAACTTGTTCACCTCGTTTGAAAAGTCATTCCTCTGCTCCACGTCTGCTCTGTTGTGTGGCCTCGAGGCGGGGAACTTGGAACAAAGTCGCTGAGCTCCAGCATCTTGGAGTCTGGGTGGTGTGTGTTCAGCCAGACGTTTTTAAAATGAATGGACACTGTGAAAGTGGGTGGAAAAGCTGAAGAAACAGGTCTGTGGTTGTTTGTCGTGAGGAACAGTTCTCCATGCCTGAAATAAGCAACAGTTGGTGGATTTTGGAGGATTTGTCCAGTGTGAGTCTGATATTTTGTAATAGGGTTGTGTATCCCCCAGGAAAGCACTGTAGAAATCGGGACAGACCATCGAGTGAAGAACTCCTTTGTCGTGTCCAGTTTGAGTACATGACCTGTGCGTGCCCTGGGGCTTCCACCAGCAGGTCATTTCCTGAAACACTACTCATTCTCCTCCCCTTTTCTGGCAGCAAATATTCAGTTTCATTTTATGTTCCATGTAATTTCAGCATTTTACCCAACTTTTTCTGTCATCCATGTGGCTAATTTGTAGGTTTAGATTTTTGTTTTATTCTATGGGTTATATAATCTCTTACCATGCTTACTTACTTTAATAATTATCTGAAATATGGTTCGGGAGAACTCCATGAGACCTAGTTCTTGTGCTAAGCCCCCAAAGGGCTTTGTGAGGGCTTCACTTTGTAAGAGTGCGGTATCAGATGCTGCCTTCCCTCGCCTCGGGGCTGGAGTCCGGGTTTCGTCAGGGATTTTGTGCTTTCAGAAACGCCGGCATGTAGAAGCCAAGATCTGGAAAGGAGCTGTGCTCACTGTTCCTGGGGTCCCACTGATTCTGGGTCCTTTTTATTGGCAGAGTAAGGAACTTTGCATACACATAGACAATGCAAATAGTACCCTCAAAGCACGCCTGCTCACGTCGCGGGCAGTCCAGGCTGGCGTCATGCTTTTTCCTGGTCCAACCTTGAGTCTTAACTGTGTGTTTTGCCAGTTCAAACTATGAAGCTCTTCACTGGCTGACTGTTGTTAAGACTGTCCACATTTTTTTCTTATTGTTTTCATGAGCAGGATTTCTTGATTGTTGTTAGGAATTATTATTCATTGAAAGAACTTTTAATACCCTTAAACATGGTTATACTAATTTTAAAAATTCTTGTTCACTGATAATCTGCTAGTGTAAACTCTACTACAGTCTTCTGGAAAATAGTGGTTTTATTTCTTTGTTTAGGCAGATATAACTTGTACTCAAAACCCGAGCACTGACTTTCCTGTTGTGGGCCTAACACATGTGTCATTCACAGGGCAGCCGGAGATGTGGGCAAGGGGTCTGTGTGGATCTTAGTTCCCCCTTTCTTTGTTTCTTACTGGAATTTATTTCTGTACTTCCTGAGTTATATCTGTCCCCCTAACCTCTAACTTGTTAACTTCCCTCAGGGTTTGACTTGATTGATGAAGTTGTTGAGATCTTTTGTCTTGTTAGTATTTTTTTTAGTCCCATGACCTATTTTGCACTAATACTGCCTTTTAAAGTTCTTCATGACTAATATGCATTTCTGCAATTATTCCTGTATCCTTTAGTACTTTGTTGGTGCACATATGTACATAAATGTCTTCATTGTGAATTGTGGCTTTTTCTATTCTGAAACGTTATTCTTTTAGTGCTTTTTGGTTTAAATTCTGCAATGGTATCAGTATTTTCTCATTCTTCATACTTGTCTCAGTTATCTTTGGCCATCCCTTTAGGTTTCTTGAGTCACTGTTTGCAGTGTGTTTTATACAAAACATATATTTGGGATTTGCCCATAAATCAATATAAAACCTTTCATCTTTTTTTCTAATAATAAATTCATTTTATTTTTTGATGATGTCTACATATTTAAGAAAGATGCATGTCCGTGTGAGCCAGCAGTTAGGGTGGGAAGGATCAACAAATGAGGGAAAGTGGATGACACAACTGCCTCCAACCTCCTTTTTTCTTCCTGTGTTTGCAGGAAGTGGGGAGAGTAATGGAGAGAACCACTCCCAGCAACCCAAGCACTTTCAGTACCTGGGAATGGGGATGGCCAACCTGTGTCATCTTAGGGTTCCTGATGTGGAGCATGTTTCAAGTGTACTGCTTAAATGGTTTGACAGTTCTGAATGCTAGAGATTTTATTGCTCCAAGGACGAGAAAATCCTTCCAAGGTCCATTGGCTGACGTAATACACTTTGTACTATGTCAAAGAGTCTCCACTTGCCCAAATACTCACTGTCAAAATTTTAGCCACTAGGCCACGTCGCCGGGCGCGAGATTTGGTATTAAGTCTTTTTTTTTTTTTTAAGATTTATTTTATTTTTATTGGAAAAGGCAGATATACAGAGAGGAGAGACAGAGAGGAAGATCTTCCGTCCGATGATTCACTCCCCAAGTGAGCGCAAAGGCCGATGCTATGCCGATCCGAAGCCAGGAGACTCTTCCGGGTCTCCCAAGCGGGTGTAGGGTCCCAAAGCTTTGGGCCGTCCTCGACTGCCTTCCCGGGCCACAGGCAGGGAGCTGGATGGGAAGCGGGGCTGCAGGGATTAGAACCGGCGCCCGTATGGGATCCTGGCGTTCAAGGTGAGGACCTTAACCACTGCGCCACCGCGCCAGGCCCGGTATTAAGTCTTAAGGACATCATTGACTTGCAGTTTCTTCCCTTGCGTTCCTTTCAAGTGTTACTCAGCTATTGACTTGCTCTTGAAAATTCTAATACTGACCTAATTTTCTTACTGTTAGAGATGATTAATTTTTATTATTGTTAGTACTTTTTGTTGAGTAGAGGCATTCATGGCTGTTTTGTTTGTCATCAAAATCCACTAATTTTACTGGGACAGTTGGAGTTGATTCCTTCTTATTAATTTCCACTGCCTTTGTTTGTTGCGTTGCCTCCTCACATTGATCTTAAATACACATACATAGTTTTCATATGACCAAGAGTATATATAGTACCAAGAGCTTTAAAAATGTTACGTCATTTCCATAGTGTGATCTCTGCCTTTCTCTTCATTTTCAAGTCTTTCTTCAGATTTTATGTGTGTGTGTGTTTGTTTGAAGGAAGAGACAGAATGTATCTTTCTTCTGCTTGTTCACCCTCCAAGTGGCTGCCAAGGTAAGTTGGTATTGTTGTAGCAGAGCACGTGGTCTCCCCCATGGGTGGCAGGGACCCAAGGACCTGAACCTCCTAGACTAACTCCTTCCGTGTGTTGCCAGGATGCTGGTGGAGAGGTGGAGAGGCTGGGACACATAGCAGCACTTGGAGATGGGGCAGGCGTCACCAGCCGCACTCAGAGATGGGGCAGGCGTCACCAGCCGCACTCGGAGATGGGAGTCAGGCATTACTAGCAGTGCTCTGAGATGGGGCAGGCATCACTAGCAGCACTCAGAGATGGGGCAGGCATCACTACTGGCACCCTCACTCAGTGCACCACAACACCAACTTCTGTTTCCCGCCTTTTCTCTGCCTGCCTTTGAGAAACAGCAGTGCTTTCTAGTATGGCTACCTATCAGTCTTGTTCCAGTCTGCCATTTTCCATGGTTTTGTTTTCACACTCTTGATCAGGTAAACTCTTACTCTTGAATTAAACATTACCTTGGGAGTATCACTTAAAAAAAAAAAGACTTTATTTTTATTGGAAAGGCAGATTTACAGAGAGAAGCAGAGATACAGAGAAAGAGCTTTAATCTGCTGGTTCACTCCCAAAGTGGCCACTATGGCCAGAGCTGAGCTCATCTGAAGCCAGGAGATTCTTCTGGGTCTCCCGTGGGTGCAGGGTCCGTCCTCCACTACTTTCGCAGGCCACAAGCAGGGAGCTGGAATGGGAGGTGGACAGTCCATGAATGGTCTTTTCTAAACTACATACCAACTGTAAATCTTAAGAGTTGAACATTATTTAGGCTGTTTTGCAAACAATATATTTAGTAATCAGTTGATAAAGTATTGCCAATTTAATCTCTGGCTCCTCCCCGTTCCCCGCCCCTGCTAGTTAAGACCAGGTGAGCACAGAGCCGGGCAGTCCTCGGCAGAGAAGGAAGCGGCTGGAACCTTGGTCCTGGACTTGCGCTTCTAGAACTGTGAGGAAATATATTTCTGTTGTTTAAGGTCTAACACGATGGTCATATTCTAACACATCTGCTGCGCCCGTGACAGAGGCGTGCCTGTTCTGGGCTTGCGTGGAGGGGACTGGGGTGTATACAATTGTTTACAGCTGGTGACTCTCTGCTTGTTGGACGCATATGAGATTGAACTCAATATTAAAAGTTATAGGGTACAGTTTTATTCTGCTGGCTGTCCTTTGTTGATAAGCCACGCTTGTGTTTCTTGTAACAAGGGATTGGATTTATTAGTATGTCTTCGTCAGGAGCTATGGCTGACTTGGACCCCCCACTGGTGAAGAGTTCACTGTGTGGAGCGGATGAGCCGACAGGCTGCAGCTGGTTAGTGTCCCGGGGCTGCG